GAACTTATATCCTTTAGAGCTCAAATTTCAGCAACTTCAACAAGTATATTTTGATGTACATAATCATCCATCATATAAGATTTAAATTTATCCCACAGTAACTTTGGATGATTAGGATTGCACAGTGTAAGAAGTGTAGCAGAAAGCCGTCTTAAAGAACAAGGCATTTCATAAATAATAGTTTCGGATAGACATTCTTTACAACGATTTCTCCACTTAATAAATCATGTAAAAGTGCTACTTCTCGAAATGTACCAACAGTTATTCCATTGAAAGTTCTTATATCATCAAATGATGTTGGTCTTTTAATATGGTTAAGAAGAATGCGAAGGAAGTATCGTTCTTCTTCAGATGGATTCACTAAGACAATTCGTCATATAACAATCTGTTTCTTCAATGAAGTCCAAATTATGTTATTTGCATTCCAAACAAAATATGTTTGGATATCTCGATACAAAAGCGAAACGTTGTTCTCCTTGTATTTTCATTCTCAATAATAGTAGATAAATCATCCGTATTTTTGTATGTAACTTGTTGATGATCTTCGATAAGAAATTATAAAGAATAAACAAGTGGATAGATTTCTAACAAATTGAATGAAAAAATCCTCCACATAACCTCAAGCGAAGATATCCATCTAGCATATTGATAAGCAAATATTTCATCAATCTCTTTTTATTTTTCATCTTTAAAAATTAATACGATCATATCCTTTATATATATATTTGTACAAATATTTTGCAGCTATAATAGAAGAACATATTTCAATATTGATATGACATTCAAATTTTGCACTTAAATAAGGATAATATGACATCTACTTTAATACTAATACCATTATTATGACGTATATGCAATAAGTATGAATTATCTCCAAATATAGTACTATTACAATAATACCTTAGATATTTATTCTTACAACCACTATTTGTCATCATGCATACATTTTTTGGATTAAGGTTTTCATAAAGGCCATTCATATTGTGCTTTAAAATAACTGAATAAAGATTATGGTGCTTGCTTTTATCAAGAATTTCACAAGAGACTATCCTATCAACTTGTTGAGTGAAAAAAATCTTATGACCACAGTTAAAAATCATCAATAGATGTGCGAGAGAAAACCCTCTTTTTTGGAATTCAATCATGTATATATGAACAACAACAGGACCAAAAATATTGTTCTTGTACAAATCATTTTCAAACTCTTCTAATTTTGCTCTAAATACACGTATAATTAGATCTGGTCGATTTTGAACATCATCATTATCTTTCAATTCTTGTTTAGAAGGCCAATTCGAATTACATATTATAGTTAAGAATATATTTGGTTTTCTATAATGTTGGACAAGAGTAATAGCATCTAAATATCTCTAGGTCTACACGTAAAGGATTGTGATAAAATACATTTCTTTCCAATTTTGTACCCTTTTGTTTCCTCGTTTTCAACACTATCTACAATACCATGATAAAGTTCAGCACGAATTTGTTTCTAGTTATTACAAAAGTAATCTAATCTGGTTGTTTCAATCTTAACATACGTATTTACAACATATTGCCGAAAAAGTTTACTAATGTGAAGCAACACAAACTTACCAGTAAGCCTAATTTATAGCTTGTATGCATAATATTCACGACATGAAACCTGAGACCATTTCTTCATTTTATGAAGCACTGCATGAGGAAAAATGAAACAATTTTTATATGTAATTAAAACATCTATATTTTTAAAATTAGAAAACATATGAGAAAGTATATGAGCAAACCTCCAGCCTCTTTCACAAAAATATAATTTCATATAATTTGGCGTATTATTTTGTGGCATAAGTTGATTTACATAATGATATATCTGTCCCTAAACTCTAAATGTGTAAATACCTCGGTATGCTTTAAAGAGTTCCTTGTCGTACTTCACACTAAATGAAGTGAATGTAAAGTGGTTATTATATCCATGTGAAAGTTTTTTGAATTCCATACATGTAGGTTCTTTAAAAATAAATAAATCATACAATTCATTTGGTGAATCAGGCATAAAAAGTTTTACTTTTCCATCACAGCAACAAAAACCTTTCGTTTCTCTATGAAATTTCTGCGCACCACAATACTTACAATAGTTGCATGTTGGTAACACACATGCAGTAGTCGGTATATTCAACAGGTTAAAACTTCCACGTAATTCATAATCGAAAACATTAGTCGATTCTTCATTTGAAGTGGAAGCCTCAGAATAAGAATGTATTATAGATTCATGCACATAAACAACACCAGAATTATTATTTTGAGATAACATAGGATCATTTATCCTTTTACGATGATCAATACTTACGGTTTGAACTCGATTCCTCCTATTCCCCCGCCTTCGATTTTGATGTTGGCGAATGAAGGCATTATATGATTTACTTGTACTTTCAAAAATACTTTCAAGATTAATAAAATTGGGCTCTTCATTACAAGTTTCCAGAGAATCCATCAAGACCGTAAATATACTACTAATCTGAATAAAATATAAAATATTTTATTAGTCAAACAACTTACAAATAATAATAATAATAATAATAATAATAATAATAATAATACTAACTTTAGCACAATGTGAAATAAAATTGATGGATAAAAGTCATAAAACTCTAGTATAACATTTATAAAATGCATAAATTTAAAGTCAAGTAACGAAATTGTAAATTCAATGCAATAGTAATAAACATTGTAGTCACTAACTCAAATATTGATGAAATGAAATCTAAAGAAAATTTTAAACATTTTTTATATGCTAGCATCAACAAGTAAAGGCTAATTGAACATTATCAAATGAAGCTAAATTCTAGAAAAGAGAAAATTCTTACCTTTTCACCCAAGCAAAACGAAGAGGAGAAAATTCCAGAGATGGATAGCAGTTAGACCTTGCACAATGTTAACGAACGAAAATCAGATTGAAGTAAAAATATGTACAAAGAGTTGGAGACAAATTTTTTTTTTTTACTAATGAGAATAGTAAAGTCCATCTCACTGCCTCAGGAACAATATGAAATTAGGTCTGAGAAATCGAAAGTGAAAAGCATGATGTTTTAGGCTCATAAATAAACATACTACATAAACTTATAATTAAAAATCTTGATAGTTAAATTGGAGGAATTTACCCAAAATAGAGTGCACTACTGTAGTCAATTACAACCACTGGGAAATACAATTGAACACTATATACAAGAAAAGAATAAATACAAATAAGACCCCACAATTTGTTAATAATAGTGGAATGATAAATACTATATTAAAAACTTAAAGAAAAAAATACAAAGTCTAAGTAAAAATTAAACTCTACAAAATCTAAAAAAAAATAAAAAAAATATCATACCTGAAGATAGCACAATTGAATTGATGTTGAAAATTTTAATANTTGATGTTGAAAATTTTACTATTTTTACTTTGAGAATGATATCTTGCAACCTAAAAAAAATTGAAAACAAATTCAATATTGACAAAATTAGAAATCACTAAAATTAAAACAAACTAAAGAAAATTATAATAAAATAAAAAATTGAATTATGTGAAGTAAATTGAAGAACTGAGAGAGAAGTAACATATTGCAAACTTGTTAGATGTAACACGAAGTAACATAAATGAACAGTCAAAAATGTATTTAGCCCAATTGCTTCTTCAATGTTGAATTTCTGTATACCTAACGGAAAACAGGGAACAACGAAAACATAAAACTATTAGTGTTTTGAACCAAATAGATCGAAACTCTGTACTTTCTCCTATAGTTCTGATCAATCAGCATAGGCCACCAGTGATGCAGGCAATCAAAAGCTCTAAGCAAGATCAAAGGAAGAATTTTGAAACAATGCAAGATTTTTCGAAGATATTTTACAGCCAAAAAAGGATCTTAATGGAGCCTACATTATTTGAAAACAAATTTGGTTTTTATGTACTTTTAGGAGCTGCATTATTTTAATAATTAGCTAGAAAATAAAGTTTTCCACAAGTTAATGACCATCCATTAAAAATTCCTCCATTGCAGAAACCCTCGATTGGTTACCTACATAACAAAATCTCATAATAAATACCCATTTTTGCATTGAAAGTTTTGAACAAAATAATACCACCATGAAATTGACATTTCTGTAATATACTTCCATTTCTGTAATATTCAAATTCAATTCAAGAAATCGACAATGTATTACTTGATTTGGGATACTGCAGTTTATCCAAAATAATTGAATAGAGTTTTGAAACCCAGGGACATCGCATGCAATTAGGGAGAAATAGATTTTAACCTTGAACCCTTTTCGCGTGCGATTCAGGAGAAAATCTGAGGGTTCTTGAGAGATTTGCGCCCAAATCTGATTTGGGGAAAATGGAATTCACGATTAACGGTTCGATTTACGGATGTGAAATTGGGGGAAATCGATTGTGGCTAAGGGTTCTTGGTTTATATTTATTTTTCACTTCATTTCAATTGGTAAAAGTGACGTTGGATATGATTTGGCACTCCCATACACAGTTGGAAGAATTTAATTGGCCAACTCAACTTTCCGTTAGCCACGCAGGCACTTATGTTAACGGTTTGAATCGGGTGACTGATGGAGTTGGACGGAGTGAAGTTCAGTGGCCACCAAGACAACTAGGAAAGTTCAGTAAGTAAGTCGTGACGTAGTGTAAAGTTCGGTGGCTAATGAAACATTTAACTCCATGGTATGATGTAAAGTTTTGAAATATGTAACTCAAAATAATCTATCTAGAATTACGTAGGTTATACTTCGCCAAACTTATAGCAAGCATAAAGGCACAAAATAGAGACGCCTATCGGGAGAGACCCTTGGCCTTCGCCGCCTTAATTATCCCTGATTCACTCCTAATCCTCCTAATCCTTCCCTCTGTTTGACAGGAAAAAAGAAAAAGAAAAAAAAAAGGTCTTTTTAGTCTGTAAAATAAATATATATCCAAGAGAAAACAAATCCCTGTAATTTCAACACTTGTATAATTAATCTAAATAAACAAAGAAAATGTTTAAGAAGGTACTGGAGGCAAAGTCACGACAGAGACTGTCAGGGGCGGACCGTAAGAAGCTGAAACGTACAGTCAAAGAGCGTTTTCGCCATATTTCTGATGCTGATATTGATATTTTACTGCCCCCAAAGGTATATCTTTTTAATCTATAACAATTATTTATTTATTTATTTTTGAGTTGGGTTAGTATGGTTTCAATTTTTATTACGTGAAAATTTTGGAATTTATTAATTCCACAATTAGCCGAAACTGCATGCTTAGTATACATGATTCTGAAGGATTAACTCTATAAATTTTCTTTCTTGGTTTTGATTTTGTGATATTAGATTATTAGTGTTTGCTTTGCAAAATCAGCTTATATTAGTGTTTAGTGTCCATCATTGCTTCTCTCATTATTTCCCTCCTTGATTGGATGGTCAACAGGAACTTCTTTTTTTTTTTTAAGTCTGCACTGATATTTGCTGAGTCCTAAAATATCTTGAATTTTTATGGTGAATCAATTGTGGTTGAGAAGTAACACCAGATATAAACTTCCATGCTATACTCTTCCTAGCGAAGTTTCACACTTGGCATGTTGTGCGTTTAAAATTATTTTATTAACACATTTTGTCAAGTATTAGAATAAAGTACAAGAAATTACAAATCACACTCTGTATTTGACATCTTGTAACACTAACTTATGATCTTGAACAGTAAAGTATCAAGTACATTTCCTCGTTTAATCTTGGTGTCTATTTTCAATTAGGAAGTTTGTAACATAATTTATATGCCATAGATAATTTTATTTATTTATTTATAATGGATAATGCAACCTGTCTTACCCAATTAATACAATATACTGATATTCAAAAGAATGTAATTATGAGAGAATTGCATACAAACATGACCGTATTAGTTGCAATACAATTCTCTGGGTAGGAGGAGCTTCTATCCTTAACTAGTTGCAAGCTTAAATGAGCATTGAGGAAAATCATCAGCACCGTGCTATATCTGGCTGCATTATTCTAAAACAGAAAATCTGAAAGACTTTTTGGTGAAAAGGACTAGAATATTTGCTTTCTCAATTATTCTATGTAGAGAACATCCGATTGTATTGTCCGTTACACCACAACATAAAAATGAAAACATAAATCGAAGATAACTTCATGCTTAGAAAGAGGAATTCATGAAATTCTAGATCCAGAGATGAATTTGGTTAATTTTGTTGTCGAAGCTGTTGCAAAACGTAACTATAAGCATCCAAAGATGAATTCATTTTAAGAAAATATGCTATTTCATTATTTGTTACTGCATAAGGAAAGTGGTTCGTAAATTGTAATGCATGGTTTAGTTTTAGTTTCTTGACGATGTTTATAGTTGTGTAGGTTTTTGATAACTTTTGATGTATATGGATGCCACCCTTCCTCTTTGACGCCCTTCCTTGAAATTTCTGTAGTTCGTGAATGCCTTAAATTTGAGAATGAAAGTAGAAAAGAAGTACATGACATATCTTTGAATGTATTGCACTTAAGCAGAATAATTCAAATAGTTGAGTTTCACTAACGTAGCTCTTGATGAATTTTGGACTGTATAGCATAGGAGCAGTATAATTAGAATCATTGGTTCCATCTAACGTAGGTATAGTCTTCTACATGATTTTTTGTCAAGCCTAATTTCTGACTGCACATATTTTTATATCCCTTATGTGTGAGCCAAACTGCCTTCGCACACAAGAGCGCCAGTCTGATTGATATTCTTCACGATTTAAATTTAATGAACGTTAATAAGAGAACAATCTGAATGTATTTTGTTGTGATGTTTATTTGTACCCAACCTACCCTTTATTTTGTATCCTCTGGTTGTGGACGTCATGAGTTAAGAATTTTGAAGGAAAGAGGGACGATATATGTCATTGAGTTAGTTTATCTGATTATCATCTTATTTAAATACTTGACTTGTCAAACTTTGTTGACGTGGTTGATGACTTTCTAGGTAGATGTAACTGTTTCAAAGTATCCAAACCGAGTTCTTGTATATGGGTTGGAAGGTGATTGTCCCCTCATTTTTGATAGCAATGGGCGAGGCATGGAAATATTCCCTACAGGTATAATCTAGCATTCTATAGTTATATTCTTGTTATACGTAGTTGCCCTTGCCTCCAAGGTGCTACTTTCACATGAATCACTTACAGTTCATCTAAGTATTTTTATTTTGTGTATATATGTCAATTAAGAGAAATATGGATTAATTCAATTGACAGATAGTCCAAGATAGAGCTGAATGCTGCAATACGATTCACCCTAATAACCACTTGTAGTTGGGATAACTATGTATTTCTTGTTGCGTGAAATTCTATTTTCGAATGGAAACAATGAAGATTAACTTTAATGGAGTCAAGTCTTTCTTATATACTATAATCTGTATCCTTGTTTGATGTGACTATATTGGAGGTTGAAAGGGAAATAAATATTTTTGATGGAGTTAGTTACTATCAAAATGTTACCTTCTTGATTGTAAGCGGTGTATTTTACCATTGATGCTGCTGAGTACTGACACACATTATTAAATAAAAACTTTGATTTAGAGCATCAAAATATTTGAATATCATTCAACAATTTTTGAATTTAAGAAGGATAAGAAGATGCTTATGCTCTGCGGAAAAATTAAATAGCTCCCATATCACAGAGTTAAGTTAATTTTTTCTGAGGTGTAATTGAAATCATAGAAAGCTACCCTTGATGTTCCATGTTTAATTGCAGACCATAATTTTATCTGCATTTGCAAATTTTAGCAATCTACATTTTTGGAAGATTGATATTTTTTTTCTTTCTGTTACATCTTTAAGAAGATGCAATTACCCTCATTCAACAAAGCATTCTTGACAACTGTCATAGCCAAGTTTGTGCTTACTTAACTAGTTGCTTTACATTATAATTATCCATATCTATGGTAAGATAATTGATTTCATGGAGCTTTACCATGGGTATTGTATCCAGTTATTTTAATTCCTTTTTCGGTTTTCTTATATTTGGCAGTTTATGCTTTGTGGAAGGTTCAAGATCTCTTACCTGCTTTTGTGCTTAAAGGGGGTGAGGTTTCTCGGTTTGTGCTTGGAGGCGCTGATTTGATGTTCCCTGGCATCCAGATACCAGCAGAGGGTCTTCCATCATTTTCAGCTGGTGAGCCATGGGCAGTAAAAGTGCCTGGGAATCCAGCTCCAATAGCAGTAAGTCTGTCCAAAATACTATTGTTGCTGCATTAAGTCTACTGTAACTGTTCAAATCTGGTGAGGCGCCCTAAACAATTACATGATGGGACTTATCATTACTCAGGTAGGCACAACCACCATGAGTAGCACAGAAGCATTGAAAGCTGGTTTGCGTGGAAAGGCGTTAAAAATAACTCATTACTACCGTGATACACTTTGGTGAGAGCATTGGAGGACTTTGCCACATCTATTTGATTTATCATTAGATTAAAATGTATGACATCGGTTGTGTCTGTCTTACTCTTAATTCATTTATTTTCTCAGGGAATCAGCTGAAAATTGTTATGTTCCAAATGCTGGTTTTTTAGAAGATGTTGTGTTTGAGGATCCGGCTTTAATTTCTACTTCCCAAGCTTCTGATTCACGTGAGGATGATGCATTGGTTGGTCAAGGAAAAGCTAGCAACAATGAAGAAATCGAAGATGCTCCTAACGTGAAAAACATTCCTTCTATTCTTGATCCCACTTCTACAGAAGAAACTGTTGTCACAACTGACATTACTGAACAAAGAGCAACAGCCATGGGTGATATGCAGGTTGTGGAAAATGCTTCAGAAGCTGAATTAAATGTGGACAATCAGCATTCATTATCTGTTGAGGATGTAGACGCAATTCTGGAAGGGTGCCTTTTGCAAGCCTTGCATACAACAGTCTTGGATAAAGATCTTCCCTTGCCTGGAAGCACACTATGGTAACCGAACGATGAACCCTACTACTTACATTTGTAATTAACCAACTTTATGTCGCATTATTATATGAATGTCTGAGTTGGATGGTAGAATGAAATGCATGCGAATTATAGTTTGAGAGTTAACCACATACAGATTAGTTTTGAAAACGTGATCACATTTCCTTGTTTGTTTCTCTTTTCATGTATTCATGACTCCCATTTTTAGTGGAAAGTGAATGACGAAGAGGAAAAAAAGTGTGCAAGCATCTGTTGTTAACACCTTTTACGGGGTGTTTACTAACATGAAGTAAAGATGAGGACATTGGAATTTCTGGGAAGAGGAAAGATATTGACTGTGTGAATCCTTTCACCCTATTGTCATTATGTAGTGCACAATGATATCAACAATTATAAATACATCTACTTTCATAGTGTGAGAATGCCTTAATAAGTTGAGGTTTAACCTCCAATAGTCTTTTTAACTTGCAACTGAGCACTTGACATTCTAATCAGTTTGAACAAGCTATTCCCTATATTAATTTCAAAGGATAATATGCTGATTGACTGTATGAGCTAGAAGATTTCAGTCATTCTTTTGGAAGTTTTTGGTTCAGATAGAAAATAAATAAATAAACAATCAAATGCTAATTTGTGGAGCAATCTACTAAGGATTTGGCTGATTAGGAGATTGATAAAGAATTACATAGAAAAGAAATGAGATTTGAATATGGTTTTTATTGATTTAGAAAACCATGGTAAGTGCCCAGGCAAGTTATAAGTGAGCAAGTTTTAAAATATGTAATTGGTTTTATATTGATCAAATTGAAATTAAGTTAATTGACAGCAAGTTATAAGTTACTTATATATATATATATATGGAAAGGTTAATTGACCTTTACCTTTTTTAAGCGTAGCTAGACATTCTCTTATTAGTCAGGTGGATTGGTGTCTATTATAACTATCTTTTACAAATTTTGAGTTACATGTTTTATGATGGATGATCATTCCCCACTCTTATATTTTTTGTATGGTATAGGTCAGGTCATGTGCTACCTTGCAGGCCTTCGGGCATTACACTGGATATAAAAAAGTCTTCTTACAAGAAATTGTCAAAGTGGCTACAATCTAAATCCTCTTCTGGACTGGTGTGTCTTCTCATGCTTCTCTTGTTACCATTTTTTGCCAGATCTAGTTGTGTTTCTAGTACCACACTATGGATTCATGTTCATGATGCTCAGAGTACAAATCTGCTGGTGCTTTCCAGTACACGTGTAAAATTTGCATTCCCTCCACAAAGGTCCATTGGTTCACCAAAACCATGCTCTAATACTTCACGAAGCTTGTTCACAAAGGACCCTTGACTCACAATGGTCGCCACATTTTTTTGCTAAGGAAATCATATATTTATATTGGAAGTGTGTTGTTTGATTTTTCCTTTTGGCGTGTTGCATTCTATCTGGTCATTGTTTTGGGTTTTTATACTGTCGTTAGAGCATTTTCATGAGTATATATTGCTGCATATTTTTTCATGAAGTGCATTCTTGTGCTGAACTCGTGTGATGTGAGAAGTGGGATGATATTATAGCATTCAACAAGTTCTTTTAATACAGTGATGATGCGATGTGCGTGTTGTGTGAATTTAGTTTTGGTTACTCTATATTGAATCTTGTACATTTTACTGCATGGGCAGATTTCAGTCAAAGAAGATAAGCATAAAAAAGAGGTGATACTATTTTCAGTTAACCGCAATCACCAGGACTACGCATCTTTCAAACCAGAGAAAAGGAAATTGCAGCAGTCCGTGAGTGATGTTGTCAGTGAAAGACAGTCAGATAAAATACTTGATGTTGTGGAGGTTTATAAGCCAAGTGTGCATGTCAACCCTGTTTACGCTTCTGTAGGAGCAGACACTGGAAAATTGTATACTGCTTCAGAAGCCTCTCAGGTTGTCTTTGGATATGTTGAAAAAGAAAACCTCGTGAAACCATCAAACAACTCCATTGTGGTTCTAGATGCAATGCTATGTGATGCTTTATTTAAGGGAGCTATCAAAAAGGGTTCGATGTACCCAACCGAAATTCATAAGAAGGATTTAGGACACACTTTCATCAATCGAATGCAATCCCATCACAGAGTGACCAGAGGAAGTGATTCGGTTGTTCGCAAAGGTGCCCTGAAACCAATTCAAATAATGACCGAACGAAGGCAAGGCAACAAAAAAGTGACTAAACTTTCAGGTGTGGAATCATTTTTGATAGATGCGGAGGCATTGGCTTCGGAACTGCAGAAGAAGTTTGCTTGTAGTACTACAATAGCTGAACTTCCTGGTATGCCTTAATATTCATTCTCTCACTTGAATATTCATGTTTAATCTCTCTGTATATAGAAACTTATGTTCTTTGTTCTCTTCTGTTTCTCATTTTTGGTAATTCTTTTGGTCTTTGATAAATTTTTTTTTTCTGCCAATATGACTGACACTACATATTTGAATTTGAAGACACTCATCTTACAGATTGATTTCAGGTACCAGAAGAGCTTGTTATAGTTGTCATGAATTTTTCTAGACCACGGGCTGATTATTTGGAATTTCATGACCACATTCTTGAAAAATTCTTTGTTTATATGTGAAGTTGCACTTAAGTTTACTCTTTGCTTTTAAAAAATTCAGGTGCTATAGTTTATTTGGTTTTTCATATTGAGTCATGGGAGAACACTGAAGTTTTCAAGAGTCTTTAGTGTTTCAAAGGACATGATTGGATATACTACCAATTAATTTCTGCTATTTGATCTAGTTCAAAATCTTGGTTCAATATCAGAGGGTTGAAATTAAATGTTACTCCATTACTGTACTTTTGTTCTTTATCTTTATAAGCTGGAAATATGTTATGTCTTCGCTATTTTTACATAATTTTTAGGTAAGAAAGGGCTTGAAGTCCTGGTTCAAGGTGGCGTCATTGATGATCTTGCGAGACATCTGGTTGAACAATATGGGATCCAGAAGAGATACATTGAAGTTCTTGACAAAACCAAAAAATAAGAATGAAGGTTAATATTTTCTTTTTATCTCGTCTTTCTCCCCTTGCTGATATGGTTTGCTCCTGGGTGGATAATTCTTTGCTCTGAACAGATAAATACTATTCATAAAATTCTTTGGTTTTTAGTTTGCTATGATTGTGAGAATTCAACGCCTACTAATGCTTTGATGAGAACGGGATTTCTATTCATATTTGCAGCTATAGCTACTCTTGTTAGATTAATTTTTTTCCTCTCCAAAGCTGCTCTGATGACATTAAAATTTATCAGATCAAGGAAAGAACAATAGGAAAATAACAGGTGAAGATTTTTAAAATGATGCTCGACTAATTTAGCAGTGGTATTGGTAAAAGTCCAAATGCCTATTGCATGTTTCAATTACTGTGGAATGTGAGGAATTCGGTCAACAAATTATGCAGTTAGTTTCACCTTAAGCACGATGACTGATTTTGAAAGGCTGTGGTTCACCTGTTTCTTCTTCAGGGGTATTTTGGAGTTAATTGTGCATGTTATCAACAAACTCTAGTTTCTCAACTTTTTGTTCGAGCACTATTTAAGAGTGGTATGCTTGACTTGATCTTGCCGATCTGACCATGTGTGTGGCAGCGCGTCGCCCACGCAGGGGCGGAGCCAAGAAATTCATTCAGTGCGAGCATAATTTAATTGACGACGAACTTTGAGTTTCTATCATGGATTCAATGATGTTAAAAATATAGAACAATATTACGATAATACTAAAAATGACATAGTAGAACAAATCTACATAGTAATAATGTGAATTTATAATTTCTGGAGGATTACGCCGTTGGCGACCATGAAGTGCACGGCGTACAAATGTATCATCTATCTCATGTTTTCTACCATTCTATAACTCTTAAATTCCATGTTGCAACCAGAAACTTTTCTCACGATTTAGCCACCACAAGTTGCCAGTTCAGTTTATTGTGTGCTCTTTTTTTGTTGGAATGCTGAATTATTCTATGTGATTGACAAATCAAGTATCAAAACAAAAAACTGAAGTACTCAAATTAGTGCATCTGAGCCAAGAAGTAAGAAAATAGAAGCCTGAATAAATGCATTGGAGACAAAACTAAAGATATTTAGTTTAATCATTAAAGAAAATCAGTGGTTGCGTATCATGTCAGAATTAACATGAATATTCAAATCACCGTTGTATTCTAGTTCATATGATTGTGTATTCGACAGAAATAATGAAATAAAATAATCTGTAATTTCAATATCATGTAATCCACATTCTATTTGCATTAATTGCACACTACTTGATATCTGCAGATTTCTTGTTCTTGTATTTACGGATCTCTTCATTCGTATATGGATTTAAATATTATTGCTAAAGCAAGTTAAGCCTAAATCAAGTAATTGAAAGCAAAATTAAGTTACCAAAAGCAAAGTCAAGCCAAATACTCTCAATTAAGTTCACCAATCTCTAATGATCTAATCTCAACCCCCTCAAAATTTCACGACATCCAATTACTGAAAGCAAATTAATTCGCAAATACTGGATGCGATTCACAGAGCTAATTTCATATACAATACAAAATTAATACTTGATTTTAAATCAAACACAAAACTCAAGAAAAAATTAATATATCATTTAACTCATCTTGATTTTAAGTTCAATGTATGTTAAAAACAAAAGATTGAAATATTAAACAAATCAAAATAACAAATAAAAAGAAAAGAAAAACGAGATGGCTTCGGGGCCCTCACCTTCTTCTTTTGTTGTGCTACTGTCTGTCGAATCGCTGCTGATATCGAAGGCATCTGCTGTTTAGGGCTTGAAAATGAAAAGGAATCGCAAGAGATTCCGAGATAGATAGGCCGAGAAACGAGGCCTTTTAGAATCTAGCTTTTTTACCTTCTTCCAAACAAGAATCACTGATGCTTGATTGGAGGAAGGTAGTGCCCGCGTCGAGTGAGATTCTCATTGTGGTAGTCTGTCTGTGCCTGTGAGAGGTTGAGAGAGATTCGAAGTCGAATCGCGAAGGGAATGGAATGGGTGAGAGTTGAAAGGTATTCGATTGGATTAGATTTCGGTTTCTTTTGGAGCTGGGCTAATACTTAAAAAAAAAATTGATTGTGTATTTGGGTTGGGCCCAAAAGTTCAGTGCATGCATGTGCCTGCACTAGACCTTAATAGGCTCCGCCCCTGCACCTACGCATTGTCGCTAGAATACTCCCAAGTTTTCCCTGTTGGATCCAAGCCATCTTGCCTGCCTGTTTTATTGTCAGCTGCGTCGTTTGCAAAAAAATAATAATAAGTGGAAACAGTCTTATGATGCTGGTGTGATAGTTTTCAACATTTTAGAGTTGAGGCGAAGGAGTTCGTAGTGTCTGTTAACGACTCGGGTATTTTTAAGTTGTTGAAATAGGGATCGAAGATATTAGATGCAATTTGCATATGGAGGTTTGGTGCTGTTTGGATGGTGAATATGGTGGATAAGTTGAGGGGGGCCGGTAAGCTGGAGGATTTCGTCGTTAAGTTTCAAGCTTTCTTGGCACGACGCTGTGCAAACAGGTGTGGCGGGTATTTGATGATTGCACATTATGAGGAGAGGCGTCGGAAGGGAGTTGTGATGGTGTTGGAAGGTGCGAATGGAGAAGGATAGGCTTCGATTTCGCACGTATTTCAGACAGTTGTTTAATCTTTTGTTGTCGGAGATAAGGTTAAGCATCGAATAGTCGAAGAAGAGAGCCCACAAAGGATTACTTATGCCGGAGTTACAACAAACCTATAGGCCTTACAGAACACTGATCAATGGGTGCTTTGCATGAAGAAAGGACAGTAAATGAGAAGAGTGATCCTTGCGAGCGAATTTATGTTCCTAATAAGGACAACTCACGCTGCATATAAGGAAACGATTGCAAAAGTAAACCTAGTAGTTTTTTAAATAGTGCTAGAATAAGAGCTCGCATCCAGACGTTAAAAGGGGAATTTGATGAATTGATTAGGGTAGTGGAAAGTGGGTTTGTAGTGAGCTCCAAGAAGACTTATTTTCATTAGTGTGGGGCGGGATTGGATAAGTCTCCAGTCAATGGAAAACATGTAGCGAACTTAGGTTCTAAAGAGTTATCATCGAACTGGGCCTAAATTAAAGAAAAGCTGGTGGTGATTGAGCTTAGTGGTAAGTCTAAGGTGCGGACTGAAGCAGTGATCTCCTCCGGCGATGAAGGTGGGGTCGTTTTAGTGGGGTCAGATAGGGATGAAATAGACCCAATGATCGAAGCATATCAGGAGGTGGAACTTTGGGCTAAGGAAAGGAAGTCGGGTATGATGAATATGGATTCAGTGATACTGGATGCGACCAGAGACAATTTTTATACAATTGTGGGTACGTTGGACACGAATCCACCTTCAGTGTTGACAATTGAGCAAAAGACCGGAATTGTACTAGCAGAGGGTTCAGTTTCGGCAATTGAGAAAGAGGAGGAGGCGAGAGGTTCAACAACTATGGTAGTAAACACTTACTGTAGGAGATATTCTAAGTCTCTAAAAGATGGGGATTCAGGGACTGATAAAACTTTGGTGGTGTGGGTTGATGGTGCAGAGAAGGGGAAAATAGACAGCGATGTAGTACAAGTAAAGGAAAAGGAGTGGCAATTCTATGATCCTCTCGAGTGTTGTGACGCTGATGAGATAGCGAAAGTTAATGCGCTTGACGTTATACCTCTACCCTCAAATTGGGTTATTCAAAAAATAATGGATTTTAGCATAATGATATGTCCTGCGATGTGTATGAAAATAGGCTCTTGCAATTATTTGAGGACCTGGAGGTTAGTATGGGACAGGGGATGTGTACACTAGGAAGTAAGACAAGAAGAAATGGTGACTGTGAGCTTAAGCGACTTGAATGCTCAGTTAATTATGATATCGAGGGAGGCGAATCAAAGAGAGGGTTGCTAATGAAGGATGATGGAGCGTTAAAATGATCATTAGAATAATTAGCTGTAACATGATGGAGCTTAATGAAGTTGAGGAAATGTTAGGTGTTCAAAATTTGTTAAGAGAATGGAGGGCTGACTTTGTGGGTTGTTGTGAGTAGCCTATGGGGGGACAGCATGTCATGTTTTAGTTTGTGGGGTCATCAGGAGCTCGAGGAGGTGTGCTGGTCATATGGGACACTAGAGTTTTGGATATGGAGGAGATTATTGAAGGGTTATTCTCTTTTTCGCTTTCGTTTAGAAATATTGGGGATACATTCGGTTGGATGTTTGTAGAAGTTTATGGGCCTAATGCTGATGATAGTAGAGGTGGCTTGTGGGATAAGTTGGCTAGTATGATGGCTTGGTGGAACCTCCCATCGTGTATTGGGGGTGATTTTAATGTAGTTCGGTTTCCTACTGAGAGGTCTAGTGGTGAGAGATTAACATGGGCTACTTTTAAAATTTTACTAGGGATAATATGTTGGTGGACTTGCCTATGACTAGGAGAGATTTTACTTAGTCATCAAATCGGGATCAACTTGTTCTATTTCGAATTGATCGGTTTTTGGTTAGAAGGGAACGAGAGGTTAAGTATCCAGAGGTAACTCAGAGGAGATTGGAGAGGGTGTACTCAAATTATGTCCCTATTTCGTTATCTGGGAATGTGAGGTGTAGTGGAAAATCGCCTTGTAGGTTTCAGAAGATGTGGCTAAAAGTAGAAAGTTTTGGGGAGCGAGTACGTACTTGGTGGGCTTCTTATGATTTTAGGGGGTCTTCCAATTATGTGTTGGATCAGAAATTGAAGGCTTTGAAGGGGGGTCTAAAGAGATGGAATGAGGAGGTGGTGAGGGATGTTAACTATCGTAAAAATCAGTGCCTATGAGATATAGAAGAGTTGGATAGGTGGGACAAAAGTCGAGGATTGGTTAGGGAGGAGATGGAGAGATGTGGAGTAGTAAGAGGAGAGGTGGAGAGGTTGGTGGAGTTGGAGAAGATTGCTTGACGCCAGAAATCTAGGGTCATGTGGTTGAAAAAGAGAGACAAATGCACCCAATTTTT